TAGAAATGCCGTTGCTGTCGGGATTCGGGCTTCAGCGGGGGCTGGCGGAGGCCGGCCGGGGCTGGGGTACGTCGCGTGGCTGAGGGTCTGCCCCTGCCTCGCTTGCGAACGGCGCTCATCCCACCCTGCGGGCAGCCGAGTCAAGGAACGCCTGGCAGAAACCTCCAGGGGAAAAAGAAACCCCTGGTTATGCTGAGAGCCGTGTGTGATGTTGTAGCTGTGGCGTGCTGGGGCTTGCTGTGCGGGGCGTCCCTTGGGACGGCGGAAGGAAGGGGTCCGTCCGAGCTCCCCGGAAGGAGACTGCGGCTGGGCGCCGCTGCCGAGCGGCGTGCGTGGGAATTGAGATTGATTCGATTTTAGACGGGGCCCTTTGGAGCGGGAACAGGATGTGGCAGGACGTGGGAAACCCAGCTGGGAACTGCGGGTCAAGGGGAGAACGGCATAAAAAGCAACTTTATGGTGTTCAACAGTGGCATTTCCAAATGAAGTCATTTGACTTCCAATCCTTGGCGCTCTAGAAAAGTTTAGGAAGGGCTGAAGTTCCCTGATGGTAGCGTGCTCTCAGATGCCCAGCGCTTTTCTTGCTCGTTTTGACTGCAAAACGTTTCATGGGGTCACTTTTCAGGTCTTTTGCTTCTTCTACCCTAGACCTAGAAGAAAAATGGCCAACAAATTAATGTGGTGTTTTTCTTTCCCCCCCCATCTCAAAGTCTCTTGGTCGGGGTTATTTTTTCCTTTTTGCATTTCTATTCCTAGCGCAGCACAGAGCCATCTGTCACCTCCTCTAACCTCAAGCCATGGCGCAGAGGACGGGAGACCTGGGCTCGGCTCTTGCGGCCCGTTGAGGTGACACGCAAGCTGTCGCTCGCTCCCGCGAGAGCGGGACTCCCTTGGGAGAGTGGCTCCCGTGGCCAAGAGGGCTGTCGTCCCCCCTTTTTCATCTTCTTGCTGCCCGGGAGAGCTCACGGACGCCTGCCGTCGCTGTCAGTGCTGCCGCACTAAGACCCTGCCCCGTCTTCGTGGAGAGAGCGAAGCGGGTGTTGAGGCTTGCTTTGGTTCGGACTGAAAGACGGTTAAAAGTGACGATGGGGAGAGCCCTTGGGAGGGCTCGGGGTGGCCGCTGCCTGAGAGGCAAGGAGTTGTGCAGCCGCATCGGGCCTCAGCGCCTCGGCCTCTGCCTTCCCCGTGGACCGGGGCCACGCGCGCGGCTCCTCCGGCGACGGGGACCGCGGCCGGGTTCCCGTGGCGGCCCTGCTCCT